TGCAGCAGTAAAGTACCATGACATCTGGAAAGGTGGCTGATAGTTTTGCCCAACCAACCATACCTCACTTTGATGGTCATTACGACCATTGGAGCATGTTGATGAAAAATTTTATGAGATCAAAGCAATATTGGTTTCTTGTTGAAAATGGCTTTGAAGAACCAGAAAGTGGAGCTATTTTCATAGATACACAATAAAAGAAACTTGATGAGCAGAAGCTAACTGATTTAGAGGTGAAGAATTATTGTTTCAGGCCATAGATCGTTCTATTTTGTAGGCTATTCTTGACAAAAGCACGTCTAAAGAGATCTGGGATTCTATGAAGAAGAAATACAAAGGTTTAGCAAAATTTAAGAGTTCTCAACTTCAGGCTCTTCACAAAGAATTTGAGACTCTTCAAATGAAGTAAGAAGAGTCGGTGAAAGACTATTTTTCAAGAACAAGGGCAATTGCAAATAAAATGAAGCTATATGGTGACAAGATGACAGATGTCTACATAATTGAGAAGATTCTTCGATCAATGACTCTAAATTTCGACTATGTTGTTTGTTCAATTGAAGAGTCAAATGACATAAATGAACTCTCAATTGATGAACTCCAAAGTTCTTTGCAAGTCCATGAGCAAAAGATGAACCGGATCTGCAATACTGTCTCCGACGAGCAGGCATTGAAGGCCTCAACCAATACTGAATCCTCAAGTTTAAGAGGAAGAGGAAGATAAAGAGGTAGAGGAAGAGGTGGAGGCCGAGGTAGAGGTAGATGAAGAGGAGGCAGAACCACTCCAGACTTCAGCAGAGGACATGGCAATCAAAATTTCGACAAATCCAATGTAGAATGCTTCAGATGTCATAAGTATGGGCACTACCTTTCTGAATGCTACACCAATCTTCAAAAACATAAAAGAAAGGATGAAGAGCAGTCCAATTTTATAAAGAAAAAGGAGCAAGAAACACTCTTGATGGCATTCCATGTGAAGAAAAATGTTGTTGAATCATATATGTGGTATCTTGACACAGGTTGCAACAATCATATATGTGGTAGTAAGTCATTCTTTTCCCAATTAAATGATGATTTTCACACTATTGTGAGCTTTGGTGATCATTCTAAAGTAAGTGTTATGGGAAAGGGAGATGATATTAAAATCATGACTGATGAGGGTAGTACAGAGACTATCTCAAATGTGTTTTATATCCCTGATTTGAAAAGCAATTTTTTGAGCATGTGACAGCTACACGAGAAAGGATATGTGACTGCAATCAGAGATGGTGCTTGTGAGATTTATGATCCCAATAAAGGCCTAAAAATCACCCATGTGAAGATGACTCAAAACAAATTATTTTCGCTGCGAATTAAGAGCATTCAGACCTGCTTTATGACAAAGATAGATGATCCAATATGGCTTTGGCATTTTTGTTATGGCCATCTAAACTTCAATGGATTGAGAACTTTTTCTCAAAAGAACATGGTGATTGGCCTACCTCAGATTGTTTCTCTCGCCAAAATATGCGAAGAATGTGTTGTTGGCAAACAATATCGTGAAAAATTCCCAAAATGAAAGGCATGGAGAGCTCAAAAAACACTGGATTTGATTCATTTAGATATCTGCAGTCTATCAATCATGTATAAAATGGCAAAAAGAATACTTTATTTCTTTTACTGTGATTATTTTCGAAAAACATGGGTTTATTTTTACAGAAAAAATTTGAAGCCTTAACAACATTTAAAAGCTTTAAAGTTCAAGTGGAGAATGAACCTGAAATGACCATTAAAATTCTCCGAACTGATCATGGTGGTGAATACATGTCTCAAGATTTCTCAAAATTCTGCGACGGGTATGGAATTCAGAGGCAAATGACAGCAGCCTATACACCCCAACAAAATGGTGTATTAGAGAGAAAAACTGAACTATCTTGAACATGGTGAGAAACATGGTGGCAAATGAGAAAGTTCCAAAGCGGTGAATTGGAGTATTCATATTTGGAATCGGTGTCCTACATTTTCCATTTAAAATATGACACCAGAAGAAGCTTGGAGTGGACGAAAGCCAGCTGTTGATTACTTCAAAGTTTTTGGGTGCATTGCATATGCACATATTCTGGATGAGAAAAGGAAGAAGCTGGATGATAAAGGTGCAATATGTGTCTTTGTTGGAGTGAGTGAACAATCAAAAGCTTATAAATTGTTCAATCCTACTACAGATAAGATTATCATCAGCAGAGATGTAATTTTTGGTGAAGAAAACACATAGAATTAGGCTGAAAAGGGTATTAGGCAGCAGTAAATACCAGTGATTTTTTATGAAGAAGAAGCAGAAATACAGCCACAGCAACAAACATATGTTGAACCTACTTCAAATCAACAATTGCAGCATCAACTTAGTCTCTATGAGACTCAACGAACAAGAGATTATACTTGACCTCAATGAACTCGAAAGAGACTAGCATGGATAACTGATTATGACGTAACAGGGATTGATCAAACGGAGAATCCACTAACCCTTTTTGTTCTATTTTCAGATTGTGATCCTGTGTCTTTCGAAGAAGAAGTAAAAGAGTCAAAATGGAGTAGGCAATGGATAATGAGATAGCAGCCATTGAAAAAAATAATGCTTGGGAGTTAGTTGAACTTCCAGAAGGCCAAACGTCTATTGGAGTGAAATGGGTTTATAAAACTAAGCTGAATGAAAAAGGGAAAGTTGACAAATTCAAAGCACGCTTGGTTGCTAAAGGTTACAAGCAAGAATTTGGGATTGATTACACTGAAGTTTTTGCTCCAGTTACAAGGCACGACACAATCAGAATGATGATTGCATTGGCAGTACAAAATCCTTGGCCTATCTTGCATGGAGAATTACAAGAGCGGGTATTTATTGATCAACCTCCTGGTTATGTTAATATTGGCAATGAACATAGAGTGTATAAGTTAAAAAGGGCCTTGTATAGTTTAAAACAAGTCCCACGGGCTTGGTATGGTCGAATTGAAGCTTATTTCTTGAAGGAAGGTTTCAAAAATGTCCTTATGAACACACGCTATTCATTAAATTAGAATATGATGGGAGGGTGCTCATGGTCTGTCTCTATGTAGATGATTTAATCTGCACCAGAAATGATAAGGCCATGTTTTATAAATTGAAGGAATCTATGATGGTTAAGTTCGATATGAGTGATCTTGGGTTGATGCATTATTTTCTTGGAATAGAAGTGACTCCATCTGCTGATGGCATATTTATTTGTTAAGAAAAGTGTGTGAATGAAGTGTTAGACAGGTTTCAAATGCAGAATTGCAATTCTGCAAATACTTATATGGATGCAGGTTTGAAGCTTGTCAAAAATCCTGAAGGCAAAAAGGTTAACAATACTCATATGGATGCAGGTTTGAAGCTTGTCAAGAAGATTTTTATCCCATTTTTAGCGAATTTTTGACCGTCGACAAACGCACATGGATCTTATTGCTGTTGCAATTATTGACTACCTCAGAAATAAATTATCAAAAATGTCACTCTAAAAAATAATGAATTAAATGTTAAGGGGCACATAGGTTAGATTTTTGCCACACCGAATCATGCACTATCGTCCACAGGAATGGCAATGGATATACCAAGAAATAAATCCATCGAAAGCTACCAAGAATTTCACCGGAGATATGAACTTCTCCCATTTGGTTACCTCTCTATGCTTATTGTCTTTTGTTATGCCAAGTCTAAAATGATAAGTTGAAGTAGTCTTGTAATTATAGAGTCAAATATCCATTTGAATTCAAATTCAAATTCAAATATTGTACTATGAAAGAAACGTGACTATAATGTTTAATTGACCACAAGATTAAATCCAACCATTGAATTTAATCTATGGTCTATATTACACATCAACTAGCACAATCCTTTCATAGTGCTCAAGACAAATACTTATGTGCCAAGTGGATTAAGTTGATCCACCTCACATTGTATAACCAATTTTTTTTAGGGTAATCAAATCATCAAATGATCTAGTTCTATTACTTTTAAATTTTATTTTTTTTAATATCATAAGTCAAAATTGACCCTTTTTTTTATTTTTAAATTATTTATAAATCTTCTTCTTTCAAGTCAAAACTGAGGAGATGCAGTGGCACTGTGGGACCGGGGGGGGNGGGGGGGGGGGGGGGGGGGCGAAGGGAGGGCATGTTTTCGAGCATTTTATAGGAATGCAGCAAAATCAATGGCACTGTACGAGTTTAGCAATTGTACGTGTACTCTTCTTAATTCGATGCTAATTAAAGAACATGCGGGTTGCTCTCAAATTCATGGACTTCAAAACAGTTTGAGGGGTGAGTTTTCAGCTGGATTATGAAAAGCTTCGACTGCGTTTCTACTGTTTTGCTGCAAATGGGCTTTGTTTGGATCAAATGAAGATCGTTTTTGTTCGTACAAATAGTTGAAATAGGAAGAAATGGAGATTATTTTTGGGATTTTGAGGTTAGATTAAAACATTTCGTATAAGTAAAGTGTTTTTCACTACTGCACCTTAAGTGAATTCCTATTATTTTATATTTGATATTCTGCTGATTAACTCTGGGAAATTGCATTTGTTAAAAGCCTCATTGATTAAGAATGCATTGCTTTGTTCGTGCATGTACCTTATACAATGTTCTAAATTCACTAAATTGTAATGCTCATGAAAAGATTAGCTTGTTTGTTTCTAGCATAAAAAATCTTGGGAAAAAGAAATCCTGTGCACAAAAAATTGCAACATGAAATTTGCTTTTATATGTAAACATCATTCTTGTCAGATAGTGAAGTCAACTGGTGATGAGATTCCAATCACATGACAATAAATTTTTTTTTTTTTTGATATTCAAGTATCCTAACTTACACCGAACTATGTGATTTCTCACATTGGACCAGTTGGAGAATGCCAATTGCCATTTTTCTTCTTCCTCTCACCACAAACTTCAAACTCCCCCCATCCCCAAGAGCCTGCACGTTGCTATATTTTTGTGCGTGGGAAAGTTCGGAAGAAGCTATGGCGGTTGGATTTGCGATTACCGGTTCAGAAGGCCAGTATAGTGGCAAGATTACCCTATTTGTGGTGTTGTCTTGTTTGATGGCTTCCATGGGAGGAGTTCTCTTTGGCTATGATAACGGAATTACAGGTTTCATTTACTTCAGTTTTCTTTTCCTCTTTGAGTTAATTGAGTGAAGGAATAACTACATATATGCTTGGAATTTTAAAAAACGTTACCGCTCACACATCCATCATACTCAAGGTTTGGTGGAGTATTATCATTACATTTGCTGCATTTTGTTTCAATCCCATGTAAACTGTTGCTAGTATGTTATAGCATTATTCTAAAAAATATTATAAAAAGGGAGTATTGATAGAGATATCTAGTGCACAAATAATTGCCAAGTGAAGTTTGATTTATATAAACGGGTTTGATCTCGTGTTCTCGGTGAGCAAGAGCAATAATGCCCACATATTGTCATACCCACAATGCGCATTATAACTACTGATCACTTTGGGCTGGAGATCAAATTCGTTTATATGTATTATATAAACCCCTGTTTGACACCATTTTCTTTTCATTTTCATTTTTTTCTCTTTCTTCATTTCAATCACACATTTTATCAATAAAATAATATTACACATAAACTCAAAAATTCTCTTTACTTTTTAACCACACATTCTTCCATCAATCATTATTTCAAAATTTATTCTTTCTTCGAAATGAGTGTCAAACACCTCCAAAATTGTCATTCTTGTCAGATAGTGAAGTCCATGGGTCATGAGATTCCAATCAAATATGACTACGTCACACAGTGGACCAGGGGAAGTTGATTTCTAGCAGCCAAGTTGGACTATTCCAATTTGCCAGCTATCTTCTTCCTCTCACTAACAACTTCAAACTCTCTCACTCCACCCCAACCTTCCCCACATTCATGAGTCTGCACCCTGCTACATTTATCCGTGTAGGAAAGTTCGGAAGAAGCTATGGCGGTGGGATTTGTGATTACCAGTACAGAAGGGCAATATAATGGCAAGATTACGTTATTTGTAGTGTTGTCTTGTATGATGGCTTCCATGGGAGGTGTTATCTTTGGCTATGATATTGGAATTTCAGGTTTCATTTACTTCAGTTTTCTTTTTCTTTTTGAGAAGACATAATCAAATGAAGGAATAACTACATCTATGCTTGGAATTAAAAAAAAAATTACTCATCCATCATATTATTATCCCTGAGGCACTCCTACACAAAAATTACTTCTATGTGTAAACAAGATGAGAATTTTACATAGTATTGAATTTTATAGGTACTCTAATTTCTTTATAGTATGCAGATGTCGCTTGAAAATGGACTTGTTCTTCTTTGTTCTCTGTTTATTTCGTTCTTTTTTTATAATCAATTTGAGTGCTTGTTTCATGTCTACCCGAAGGGTTCAACTTGTGCTTTATTGAAGTACAGATAGTGAGAGAACACTGTCGTCAACCATTTTGTGGTAAATTTTAGGTGGAGTAACTTCTATGGAGCCATTCCTGAAAAAGTTTTTCCCAGAAGTCTACACCAGGATGAAAGAAGACACAAAGATTAGCAACTACTGCAAATTTGATAGCCAGCTACTGACATTATTCACATCCTCGCTCTATATAGCTGGTCTAATTGCTTCCTTCTTTGCTTCATTGGTCACTGCAGCCTATGGGCGCAAACCATCTGTCCTTGCTGGAGGAGTTGCATTTCTTGCTGGTGCAGCACTAGGAGGTGCAGCTGTTAATATATACATGCTGATTTTTGGCAGGGTCTTGCTTGGAGTCGGTGTTGGTTTTGCAAACCAGGTAACATGTAGCCTCCTTTCTTATTTGACAGATGCACACCCTACATAATTAGGCTTAGATTGAAATGTGAAACAAGAATGGAATATGACAAAATGTAGCTTTTTCCTTTTGTTCTGAAAGCAATTAATGCGTTCTCCTCTGTAGAACATGTTAAAAATAAAATAAATAAAATAAAAGAGGAGTATGCTGAACATTTAATTGCTTTAGATTTTTCCTGTAGATCTAAATAATGAATCTAACCGAGCAATGGAAATTGATTTACGCAGTCGACCCCAATTTTATTAAGAGGAAGGCTTAGTTTGTTGTTGTAGTTTCTCATCTTTGAAAATGCCTTTCAATTTGAATTACACGCGTTCTCCATGTCTGTCCAACAAATGAGTCCCCTAGCTCTCTGTCTGTTTGCAGGCAGTTCCTTTATATCTCTCAGAAATGGCACCTCCCAAATACAGAGGAGCAATCAACAACAGCTTTCAGTTCAGTGTAGGAATTGGGGCCTTAGCAGCAAACTTGATAAACTATGGAACCGAAAAGATTACAGGTGGTTGGGGATGGCGAATATCGTTGGCTATGGCTGCAGTTCCGGCATCAATTTTAACTTTAGGTGCACTCTTTCTCCCTGAAACACCGAACAGTCTAATTCAACGTAGCAGCAATCACGAAAAGGCTAAAAAGATGTTGCAAAGAGTTCGAGGCACGGATGATGTCCAAGCTGAACTAGACGATCTCATCAAAGCTAATGATGTTTCAAAAACCATAAAAAACCCTTACAAGAGTATCATAAAAAGAAAATACAGGCCTCAGTTTGTCATGTCTATAGCGATACCATTCTTTCAACAAGTAACTGGAATCAATGTCATTGCATTCTATTCACCAATACTCTTCCGAACAATTGGTTTAGGCATTAGTGCAGCTCTCTTGTCTGCAGTCGTAACTGGGGTTGTAGGTATAGGAACAACATTCATATCAATGCTGATAGTTGACAAAGTTGGCCGAAGATTTCTATTAATAATGGGAGGAATACAAATGTTTGTCTCTCAATTGACTGTGGGGGGAATTATGGCAGCGAAGTTAGGGGATCATGATGGACTAAACAAAAGTTATGCTTTTATGGTTCTGGTGTTGATCTGCATTTATGTTGCTGGTTTTGGAGTTTCATGGGGTCCATTAGGCTGGTTAATTCCCAGTGAAATATTTCCCTTGGAAATACGATCGGCCGGACAAAGTATTTCAGTGGGCATAAACTTTCTCTTCACTTTCGTGGTTGGCCAAACATTTTTATCAATGCTTTGCCATTTCAAGTCAGGGATTTTCTTCTTCTTTGGAGGCTGGGTAGCAATAATGACAGCGTTTGTTTTCCTGTTATTACCAGAGACAAAGAATTTGCCAATTGAACAAATGGATAGGATCTGGAAAGAACACTGGTTTTGGAAGAAAATTGTAGAAAAAAACAAGGAGGAGGTGATTGGCAAAGTAGGTGGAGCATCTCTTAACTGCTGATATCAAATAATATTCCATGGAATGTATTTTATTTGTATTTCTTTCAAAATTTGAATAATTTTTATTTAAACTGTCTCAGGTTTACAGTTTCAGAAATCTTACAATTTTAACTATCCCTCAATTTGAGATCTTCAGGACTGGAGAACTTGGACTTCAAACCATGATCTTGTGATTCCTAATGAAGAATTTAATTTTAAAAGCCATTATGCATGAACAATTACTACTTTAGTGACAGAATCCAACAAAACATAAGCCGGCTGTTTAGGACTGTACCATAAGTATAAATCAAACACTGGTGGGTTAAATTCACTCATGGCCACCCAACTGTATATTTAGTGTCACCATGATCATCCAATTTGATTTTGTTTCACCATGACCTTTATATTTAATGTCATCATAGTCACTCAATTTGATTTTATTTCATCATGGTCATCCAATTTTATATAACGTTGCACCATAACCACCTAATTTCATACAACATTTTATCATGGTCACTCAATTTCTTTTCACTATTTTCACTAATTTTAAAAGGGGTAAAACGGTAACTTTATGTTATATTTTATATATATAATAAATTAAAAACAAAAATAAAAGTTTTTTTAAAAAAAATTTAAAAGCGTTTATTTTAAAATAAGTTTTTATTTTATATTATTATTTTTAAATAAGTTTTTATTTTATTTTATTAAGAAATGTCTTTTTTTCAAATAACTTTTTATTTATTTTTATTTTTTTTTCTAAATAACTTTTTTTAAATAACTTTTTATTTTATATTATTTTATTAAGTAACTTTTTCTTATCAAGTTTTTATTTTATTTTATTTTTTTAGGTAACATTTTTTTAAATAAGTTTTTATTTTAATTTTTTTAAAATTTATTTTATATATATAATGCAAAGTTACCGTTTTGTCTCTTTTAAAATTAATGAAAATTGTGAAAAGAAATTGGATGACTATAGTGAAATGTTATATGAGATTGGGTGGTTATGATGAAAAGTTATATGAAATTGGATTGTCATTGTTAAATAAAATAAAATTGACTGGTCATGGTGACATTAAGTACAAAATTGGATGGTCATGGTGAAACAAAATCAAATTAAGTGACCATAGTGACACAAAGTATAAAGTTGAGTTGTCATTTGTGGATTTAACCCAATACTGGTAGATACGCTCAACATGGATCACGTGGTTAACCCAAAACTGATTGTCACGTATGGCAAACATAGTAATATAGTTCCCGCCTTTTGTGCTTTGTGCATACTCTCTCACGGGTAATCCAAGGAAATGAAATTAAGCAATGTTTGACCTCATTAAAATTTTAATACATTTATCTCTTTTTTTCTTTTCAATCACACATGTTTAAATAAAATAATATTAAACGTAAATAAAAAAAATTCCTTATTTTTTAACCATACATTCTCCCAAAAATTACTATTCTAAAATACATCATCTCTAAAAATCTTGTTATAATGAGAACCAAACCAAACAAGGGCTAAATTACACAAACATTTCAAGAGAAAACGTGATAAAACATAGTACTCATTTCACAAAACTTGATGAGGAGTTGCGAGCTTGATTACTATTACCACCAAAGTTGACTTTAATTTTTGTAAGGATGACATGGTCAATTGATCTCGACTATACTTACGTTCACGCAACCTAGCTCCTATACACTTGGATAAATCATTAGTTGCACGCGGCCTTCTCTGATGATGGGAAAGACAGTCGCAAGTACTACAATAATCAAGTTAGTGAACAAGAAGTAGTGAGACGTGAGTCACAAAGGTGTTCGGGCCCTAGGAGTAGTGTATCAATACGTAAAATGAGAGGGAGCAATGTCATAGTTGAGTATATAAAATTGCACTAGATGACACTAAGTATGAACTTTTACAATAGAAGAGATGGAATATTAACCATTGGATGAAAAGACCGTGACTTCATCTTGATGACCGAGATGTCTCCTCCTAGGCATCAACAATCATAGGTGATTGTCATTTAATATTGAAAAAATTGAGCAGCGGTCCCAAACCTTTGATTTTTTGCAGACTTTACATTTATTTTTACCTTTACCTTTACCTTTAATTTGTGACACCAACAGTCCCCCAAACCTTTGTAAAATTAGTGCTTGAAATCCAAATAGATGGAAACATTGTTAGTTGACCAAAAAAATAAAAATTTGACCAATGTTGATCAAATTAAGAAGGGTAAAATTGTATTTTTATATTTTCTCAAATATTAACAATTAAACTAAAAACAAAACAAAAATAAGAAATCTGCCCCCACCCACCCCACCTTACCTTCGTCTTCTTCTTCATTTCTACACAATCACCTCCAACGGCATCAATGGTTGTGCCACCAAAACCTACAAAGCTCCCTTACTGACTCACTCTCAACAGCATTAAAAAACCCATACTTTTAGGTCTTGACACCACTGAAGCCATTGTCGCTCCATCATCTCCACTACCTTAACCCGTCGCCTGCCACATCCACCATCATTCATCGTCGTCGTCACTTGCCTTAGCCACCACCATTCTTCTCCATTATTGTTGTTTCCATTCCTTTTATTATTCAATTGTTAAAACTCCAATCGTGTTTTCATGAGGATTTGCATCCTCTGCAACTCTATCTCCTTCATTCCATCCTCTACTTTTCCATCTCTACTAACGGTTGCATTTTCGAGTTCGCTGCTTGTTCATACAACTCCCTAAATTTCAAGATTGCCCATGTCGATTACCTTGTGCTAGGAAACTATCAAACCGCAAAATCGAATTGAAATCGCTTTTTTGAAACCGTTGATTTGGTTCCACATAGATTCATCAACACTTTGGTTTTGAACCAACCAAACTGCTTTGAAATTGTTTTGGTTTAGGTTTCAATCCTTGCAAACCGTTTCAAAACGTCAAACCATTTAACAAAAAAAAAAGCAGTCTAAATTTTATTTAATCTTAAAATTATGTTTGACACCCATTTTAGTAGAAAAATGTGTTTTTGAACAGTGATTGATGGAAGAACGTGTGGTTAAAAAGTAAGAAGAATTTTTAAGTTTATGTATAATATTATTTTATTGATAGAATGTGTGGTTGAAATTAAGAAAGAAAAAAAGAATGAGAATGAGGAAAAAATAGGTGCCAAACGGGGGCTAAATCATATTTATCGACCCTCCATTACAATTAAGTAGACAATTAAATCTAGATTTGTTTTGATTTCACGAGGTGTTGAGCCAAAAGTTGACAAGTAATTTTCGTTTATAATCGACCATGCTAATGACATTCTTATGCTCTTTTCCCCCATAAATGAGAGTGGGATAACGTAGATCAGATTTATAAGAAGACTATTTTTTGCAACAGTTTCCAAAACCTGTTATATAAAGGAGAAAATCAAACCGTCAAATGAAACAATCGAATGTCTCTTAAAGTTTTTTTTTTTTTTTTTTTTTTTGGGGAAAAAAATTTACTTTATAGCCTTCGTGTTAGTTCTCTGGTTTGATTTATCTATGATCTTCTCTTTGATGCATGAATACTACCTTCAAAGTGCGAGCATAGAGTATGGGAGGGGTTTTCATGGTTGAGAATGTATCAATATTTTGAAGATTTTGTTTTAGGCCAATAATAAATAATGATTCTTGTTGAGCTTGGCGTGTCTCTGTGTGTGTCAAATGGGAAGATGATAAATTTGAGACTTGGGGAAGGGGAATGTAGATAGGAAAGTGATTAATTTTGTCTTTCAAAATAGACCCCGTGGATTGCATTGACCAAGTGGGGAGAAATGGAAGAGGGAAAAATAAACATGTGCTGAGAGGTTTTAAGTAGGTGGGTGGAAATCTATTGAGATTAGGGATGTCAATTCGAACTGTTAAAACTGAAAGTCACGGTTAATCGAATCGAATGAGGCAAAAAAAGGGAAAAATTCATATTTCAGGTGTATGGTTTACACCAATTCAAAAGTCAAGTAGATAGTTTAACAATTCAAAACTCAGGTATTATGTAATTAATTAAAAATATTTATTAATTAGGTCACAATTAAACAATTAATGGTCACATATACATAATTATAGGTCACAATTTATCTATTGGTCACATATTATCAAATTAATTAGTCACTGATGATTTCAAGGTCACAAATTCAAAAAATTATAGGTCATAACACTACCATTTCAGCTACTTTTGACCACCCTCACCCCGCCGCCGCCATCACCACCACGACCACCAACATCACTACCAACAAACCCACCACTACCGCATCCAACCACACACTATAACCACCACCACCAACCAGATTCGAACCCACCACACACCACATCTGCACCACGCCGTCACCGCCACTACACCCACAACACCACCCAACCAAAAAAACTACGTCACACTACAACCACCACCCAACAAAAAACCCCGAACCCGTCATCGCCACCACACATCCACCCGTTGCGACGCCACCACCACCACAACTCCACTTCACCACAGCACACACACCCATAGAACCCGCCGCGACGCTGCTGTGAAAGCGTCGCACGACAGCGTCACAGCAACAAAGATCTACCAACCCAACAGGTGATCCAAGCGGTGGTCTTGAAGGAGAAAATTTCAGATCGAGTTGTTGTGCTTCTGCCTCGATCGTCGTCGTAAGTTCGGTGGTGGATTGTTGTGGGCGGTGGTCGACAGTGGGTAAAAGGGAGATTAACAGAGAGAGGGGAGGGGAGAGAGAGGTGAGGTAGTTGAGAGTGATAAATTAGGGTTAGGGTTTATATATATTGCCTGATTTTTGAATAATGAAACTTAGTCTCTCATTTTTGAATTCCAATCTTCAAACACCTGAATTATGTAATTTTCCCACGAAAAAAGTCGAATCGATGGTGCGATTGGGTGATTATGGTTTTGATTTTAATGACCCGATTTGGGGTGGGGCGAGTATGGTATTTAGCGATGGTGCCCCGCCCTTAACCGATTACCCGTTAAAAAAATTTATTAGGAAATTGGGTTATTTTGACAATTGGGTTTCCCAAAATTGT